TTTTGGTCTTTTTGAGACAGGGTCTCCCTGTAGCCCCAGCTGTCCTGGAACTCACTGTATAGACCAGGCAGCCTTGAACTCACAGAGATCCGCCTGTCTCTGCCTCTGAAGTGCTGGGACTACAGGCGTGTGCCACCATGCCCAGCCTGGTCTTGAATTTTATATAAAATGTTACAATAGTATTTTTATACAGCGCTATATAGTTTTATAATACTGTGTGTAGTTTTTTTTATATAGAATAAGTATTATGTATGATTCCTTTGACTTGGTATCATGTTTTTGAGTTATTCATACTCTGGTGGTTTTCTGGTAGTTTATTGTTTTATTGCTGAGTAATATTTCATTATGTGAATAAGATACTGCAATTTGCTTACCCATTCCCCAGATTATGAACATTTGTTTTTTTTAACTTTTGTGACTATTAAGTACTGCGAACAATCCTGCTATTACATTATATTATAAACATTGTTGTTTATTTTGTTTTTTCTCCTGGCCATATATTTAAGAATGCAATCCTGGGTTATTGGATAGGTACATTTTGATTTTTAAGAAATTGCCAAAAGGTAGAGAGTGATAGAGGAAGGCACATGTATGTGTACACCCTCCCATGCACCCCCATCAGAGTATGTATGCATGCGTAACACACATGCACATGCGTGCACACACACACACACATACACACACACACACACACAGTTGTCAAGCATGTCCACCAGCCATCTAGAAATTTAAGCTTCTTCACTTTATGAGCAGTGCTTTCTTCAAGGCATGTATTTGTACTTTTGGAGCACTGTGATTTGGATGCCTTCTTAACTATTTCCATATGAGAAGGCATTTTAAAAATGGACATAGTACTGCCAGTTGGGTGTTAAAGGTTTGGTGGAATTGACCAGAATAAAGTTATCCGCTAAGTATAATAGATGAATGTGATTATACCAATAGACTTTAGAATAGACTGAATGTTTTTAATTACCGACAGAAAACAATTTTTCTTTGAACAATTAGATAGCAATCACATTCTAAAAGAGTTTTGAAATATAATGAAATACTTTATATGTAGATCAATTCAGAATATATCCATACTAAATATACTTTATTTAATTGCACTTTTGAATTGAAATAATTTTTCTAATTGGGGTAGGTTCTTTCTCAGATGATATCAATTACTATCTGAATCTACGTGATGAAATACAAACATATGAGGCTGTAGGTTAATTTTCTCAGAACATAGTATATTCTAGAAGAAATTACTTTTTATTGGACTTGTTTCCCAGATTTAAGGTTCTTGATATTTCAAGGCCTTCTTGTATACAGTCAGCCTGCCAGTGGTATTTAGAGGTTCTACACCAGTGGATTAAACCAATTATGAATTGAAAATATTTGATGAAAAAATTTTGTAACTGAGCCAGGCGTGGTGGCACTGCTTGTAATCCCAGCACTTGGGAGGTAGAGACAAGGTGTTCAAGGCCAGTTTGGGGTATGTGAAATCTGTCTCCCCCCCTCAAATTATGATAATATTGAACATGTATATCTTTCCCTCTTGTCATTTTCCCTAAACAATACAGTATAACAAGTAGTCACATAGCACTCACATTATAGTAGGCATTATGAATGTGTAGAAATGATTTCACATACATGGGAACAAATGCATAGGTTATGTATCAGCATTGCAACACTCTTTTAGGACTTTAGCATCTGTGGGGTTTGTAACATAGCACTCACATTATAGTAGGCATTATGAATGTGTAGAAATGATTTCACATACATGGGAACAAATGCATAGGTTATGTATCAGCATTGCAACACTCTTTTAGGACTTGAGCATCTGTGGGGTTTGTATATGAGGAGGGTTCTGAATCCAAATTCCTCAGAGATCCCTCAGATATGACTGTACTTAGAGTCCTTGTCCTTTTCTTGCAACATTAAAGATGTCCGTTTTTGGGAACAGTTTCTGAGAGTTGAGAATGTGTTAGGCTTATCACAGTACACACATATACATATGTGCATTTATGAAAATATTGTTTTTATAAATTGAAATAGCTAAGTAAGGAAATTTAACACTTATAGTCAGATAAGTCATTATACTGACAGTTAATTTAGACAGTAAAATAATAAGGCACATTTTCTTAATTTAAAGTTTGATTCCCAGTTAATTGCTCATTTTCTGTCAGTACATGTATATTTTTATAGGTAACTATTTAAAGAACGCATTGTAGATTCATTTTGATTAAGGAAATAATTACCATGGGTAATTAACAGAATGTGAAGCTTCCCTACCTTCTCAAGTAATGACATTTAAAACAAAGACTTTGTTAAGCTGTAACTGATTTGCATATGCAGAAATATATTATTTTTCAGTATATGTGATAGTAGCAGCTGGGCAATTATGATATACCAGAAAAACATGGCAGATTAGTTTGTATTGTCAAAAATCCTGTTCTCTGGGGCTGGAGAGCTCGCTCAGTGGTTAAGAACACTGGTTGTTCTTGCAAAAGACCCGGGTTCGAATCCCAGAACCTACATGGCAGGTAACAACTGTCTGTAATTCCAGTCCCAGGGGATCCAACAGCCTCTTATGACCTCTGTGGACATTGCACAACATGGGTGCACTTACCTACAGGCAGGCAATACACACATACACATAAAATAAAAATAAATAAAATATTTTTAAAAAATGAATACATTTTC